TTGCTGCCCTTTTGTTGATATTGACTATAATCACAGACACTGCTTGCCATGGTTAACATAACCATGATTAACCCAAAGAAATTGGGTCAACAGGTGTAACATAATGATCCATAAACTAACCACAAAGGCTGGATTTTCATAGCATTACAGTAAATTAAAATGCAATTGGATAGTGTTTCCTATGTACAAAGCTTTTATACTTTCAGTAGTTCTTACTTAGAGGGCTACTCTAAAAATGTTGTTTCAGGGTATAAAGGCTGCACATTGAAAAGACGGACAAATAATAGTTATGAAGCAGTGTATAACATGGAAGACTGTTAAACTAGAATTTTCACTAGCTCAACACTAGCAGTTAACATGAGTGAAAGGATGAAATGTGGCTAAAGAAGGAATAGTGGACAATTCTAAAGACTGTGTTATATGCAACTATTCAAGTTGTAATAGAAGGCACATTAATTTAGGAATAATCCCTATTGGTTCAATGGATTCAGATATATAGGATTGCACTTCATAGCTAAAAAAAAACCCCATGTACAGTGTTTTCTTTTTTGGAATGTAATTTGATCAATTTCTTCATGTGCTTTTAAAGCCACCAACTAGTGCCATAAGCATAATTTGTCAATGTATTCATAGGAATACATTTTTATACCTAAGCTGTGCTTGCTAAAGGCCATTCCAAATTTCAAAGGAACCACATTTACAATACAATACATTATTTATTGAACATACTATACACAGTAAACCTTAATTTATTCTGTAGCTCCTATATTTTATTCCATTGATTCCTTTTTTATATTCTATCTTCACATACACACACCACATAGAACCAACATATTAGCTTTCAATAGCCTAGCTGGAAAATAGCTAGTGATCTCAGGGCAATCAGAAATTCACCTTTTGGGAAATTTTGAAATAATAGTTTTTTATCCTTTCTTTCTTTCAGCCTCAACACAACTGCCTTGTCACATAATCACCTTTACTAATAATTTATAAATGGCACACTGTAAAGCTTAATTTTGCCGGGATGTTGTTCAATGCATTTTAAAATGACTTTCACTAGAATAGTTTTGCTTTCCGTGCAATTGTGCTATCAAATATACAGTGAATGTGAATTTATAAGAGTCAAACTGATTAAGAGGCTTAAATCAGTTTCATCTAGCCCCGGGGCATCAAACTCGTGATGACATGTCATCATGTGACATATTGCAACTTTTCCCCCTTTCGCTAAGTGTGGCCAGCACGTGACACATCTGGGCCACGGATCACGAGTTTGACACCCCTGATCTAGTCCCAGACTAAGGAAGTCCTTATTCTTAAGGAAAGAAGCAAGTAATTTTGGGGAGCTTAACACAGTAAATGCACTCTTGCATGTGACGTATGATACTAGTTTGCAAAATGCTTATATGTGATTAGCCTGTTTTTAGAACATTATCTGGATGATGTTTTATGATGTTTGCAACTGGGATGTTTTGACGATGCTTTTATTGTTGTGAGCCATTCTGAGTATTGGTAAGTGGGTGGCGTAAAGATAAAGTCAAATAAATTAAACAGATGTCTTATTATTTTATGTGCTGGAAGTCTGTCATTTTTGTTGCAAAAGGCTACTGCAATTTCCTTTGGAAATAATTTTTTAATAGTCCCAGGTCTCCCAACTGATAGCAGCTTTCACAGTACGTTTTATGGGGTCAGGGTTTATTTATTTAATGGAAGAGCTCTGAGACTCATATGTTTTATTTTTTTGTAATGTATCTATTAAATTAATGAATGTACCAGTCAGTATCAGATCTGCACTGCAATGATCATGACAATTATCACAAAAAAAGAATGGGCAAGAACTGATAATCTCTTCTTTCTCTGAACAGTGGAAAGAGTAAGCAAATAATCAGTTACTCCTTTAAGTTTTTCACCTCTCAGGCATAGTTAAGAGTTGTTCTTTCCTTCTAAAACAGGGCTGTTAAACTCCCAGCCCATGGGCCGGATGCATCACAAGCTGGCCCCACCCACACTCGGGTTAGCAAAGGGGGGAAAACTTGTGATACATCATGTGACACCACCATGACGCCACGCGTTTGATACCCCGTTCCAAAACATCTATCTTATTTGTGGACCCTATTTTTGACTGATGCACCGAGAACTATCTTAGCCTTAGCCAGCAAAAGGCTTTTGGAAAAAGCAGTTGCCATTTATTTTCTGCACCTCTGCAATTGTCCTTGGGAAGTGATGCAAATTTTCAAACTAGTCTAAGCCAAATGTCTAATCCACAGCCTATAATATTTTTATTTCAAATGGGATGGTCCTGCCACTTTATCTTTCTCCCATTACAATTTTAAAATTTCATTGGGCTAGGCTGGATGCATTATTTTATGTAGTCCTATTGGGTCATTATAAAAAATATCCCTCTTAATCAGTATTATACTATGCTTGGGTGTTCTGTGGAATCTCTGAGCCATTTGGTTCTCTGTTGCTCTCTTGTCAGGGAATGTCAGATTACATGAATCTATTCCATTCTGAAGAAACACCCAGGCTGAAAGTACAATTTGGATTCTGATGTATCTTTCCAAATTCTGTGCCTCAATTTATTTTAATTGCTTGACTTGGCATTGAAGGAGTCTATTAATTCTATGGTTGCTTCTATTCTCTCTCTTATTTTTATATCATTTTATTGTATATCATCTCTAATTTTTATTACATCTATAGACTTTATAGACATATTTAATGGATATCGCTGTGATGGTGAACCTATGGCACATGGTCCAGAGATAGCACACAGACTCCTCTCTGTGGTCATGTGAACCATCGCCCCAGCTCAGCTTTGCAGGGCATGTGTGCATGCCTTCGGCTGCCCAGCTGGTCTTCAGGTCTCTGCTGTGCATGTGTGGAAGCAGGGCGTGCATGGGCGTTGTGTGTGCATACACGGGGTGAGGCGCATGCACAGGGGTCATATGTGCAGGGGTTGCAAGAACATGCATGGGGGTTGGGCGCATGTACGGGGGCGTGCGCACTGCATTTGGGGGATGCGTGTGTGCACACTTTGGGCACTTGGTACTGAAAAGGTTAGCCATCACTGGCATATCGTACCTTCTGGCTGCACATTTTTAAAAAGTCAAAGGTCCACCTCCACCAACTTCTAAGCAAAAGGATTGACTGATAGCTCTTTCTGTGCTCCCCTCACATGAAGCAAGTAGGCCAAAGCTCTTTCTGTGTTCCCCTCACATGGAGCAAATAGGCCAAAGCTCTTTCAGTGCTCCCCTCACATGGAGCAAGTAGGCCAAACATCTGTGAAGGCCTCCTCACCGGGGTGGGTTTCTGGGGGTTTGCAGGGGTCCAGGAGAGCCCCTAGCTAAGATTCTGTGCAGTTTGGAGACCCCCAAATCCCACTCCTGGCTTGCTCCACCCACCCCACCACGCTCCTCCCAGGGGTCCCCACATGGGCCGTTTGGATGCAGGTAAGTCCAAGGCACACATGGAGATTTGGGGAGGGTGAAAAACAGACCTCTTGGAAGTTCGGGAAGGCCGGAAATGAGCCCCTTTCCACCTTCTAGAGCAGGGGTCCCCAACCACCCGGCCGTGGACCGGTACCGGTCCGTGGAACATTTCCTACCGGGCTGCTGGTTTGCTGGGCGCCGCCATCTTGTTTGACGAGAAAGTGCTTCCAGGTAAGCTTTTCCGGTTGGAAAGCAGTGTTTGGGTCCTGAAGGAATCCTCGCGCCTTAGTTTCATCAAAGGAGGGAGGCTTCGAACGAAACTAAGGCACGAGGATTCTTTCAGCACCCAAGGCAAGGCAAGTCAAGCGACCGTCCTGAAGCCGTCCCGAAGCGAAGCCCATCGACAAAGGTACAAAGGAGGAGTTGAAGGTGGCGGGGAGAAGCGGGGGACGGCTGGCTGGCCGGTCGCTCGGTTCGCCTTGCCTTGTCATGCGTGCTGATGCCGGTACCGGGCCGTGGATCATTTTGTGATGCCGGTACCGGGCCGTGGCACAAAAAAGGTTGGGGGCCACTGTTCTAGAGAGCCTCCAGAGCCAGAGAGGCTGTTTTTGCCCTCCTGGAGGCTCAAGAAAAGCCTCCCAAGCCCGGGAAGGCAAAAACACTCCCCCCCCACAGGAGGCCAACTAGGCCCATCCAGCAATGGGGCAGAGAACCCTTTGTTAAAATTTGCCTCCTCCCTTGCCTCCTCATCCTGGTCTTCAGGTCAGGGATCAGACCAGATCTCTGATCTGGGATCTCTGCTACTCTAACACAGGGAGAAGTTAACAAGACTGCAAGTTATTGCTATTTCTTCGGAGTCAGCTTGCATGCCTATACCAAAATATTATGCGAAATATTAGTGTAGCCATGATGTTGCATTAAACTGCCCTTATGATGGTTTCTTTTAAGAGCAAACAGACAGTGGAGTCTAAAGCAGCCTTACTGAGCAGTATTTATTTGTTTCCCTCTTTTATTATTTCACAAATAACTCAAGGGAGCAAACTTATTCAATGCATCTTCCTCTTTTCCCATAACAACAGCCCCGTGAGGTGAATTGGGTTGAGAGACTGGCTCAAAATCCTCCAGCTGGCTTTCATGGAAGGCAGAATTTGAACTCATGGCTTCCTACTTTCTAGCCTGGTGTCTTTAACCACTAGAGATCATACAGGGTCGGGTATGTGTTCGGGTCTGTCTTACTTCTTACTTACTGCCTTTACTTACTTTTTCAGGACCGTGCCGGCAAGCTTGCCTCCCCAACTGGCAAGGGGTGTAACGGATCACGTCCACACCCACGCCACCAGCCGGGTTGCCACTTTGTAGCCCCCGCCTCTTCATGTCCCCGTGACAGCAGCTCGCCTAGTTTCTAGGGCTATCCAAGGCATCGCTGGAGGAAGGCACCCGAGTGTACGGCTCCTTTAAAGCCTGGGCTAAGCTGCTAGTTGGCCCTGCCTCTGCCCGCTTGAGCTCCCCAACTGGGACCTGGGCAAGGAGGCGCTGTGCGCTGGTCCTTTTCCGTCACCTTCTGCGGGTGCGGAGTGGCCGAGTGAGCTGCTTCGGGTTGTGCAAAGAGAGTCAGTTCAGTTCAGCCTGAAAGGGTGTCGATCCTGCAGCGCGCGCGCGCGCGCGCCAGGGGACTCCGCTCTGGTGGGAACCCTTTTCTGAGGCGGCGGGGCTGATTCCTGCCCTTTTTTAGACTTCGGTAGCCCCCGTGGTACAAGTGCTGTCCATTTGGGCTTCCGTGGGTGATCTTGTTTAACTGGGTCTCCCCCAGCCCACCTTTGGGAAGGAAGAAGCGGAATTCAACGATCAGATCTTGCAAAAAGATAAACCGCCTACTTTCGCAAGTGCTGGGATCCGGTGCTGCAGGGGAGATTCAGACAGAGAATAAACTCCCTTGTCTGCCTTTCAGAGGAGAGGTAAGTGCTGTCAAGTTGGAGCTTTGGCTGATTTTAGGTGGGAATTATTAAACCTTGGGAAAGGGAGGACGATAGAAGGAACGGGAGTCTTTCAGACCGGGGGTCTGCGTAGTTTTACTGGTAGTGTAGAAAAGCCAGTTCCCTCTTAGAAAGCTGCAGTTGCAAGAATTCCTTTAAGCGGTTGCGGTCTTTACCGTATTTTTCATTGAGCTTCCCTGCACCCATTCTTAGGATTTTATGCATTACTCAGACATTCAACATCACCTTCCACTTGTTACTGTCCTGTATTTATAGGGCGGGAGGGAGACACTTCTCCTGTCTCGTTCTTTTTCTCCAAAAGAAAAATCTATTAAGAGGGGAAACAGATATAATATTGTACCTGCCTTTTCATTTTCACTCTAGGAATTCTGTATCTAGAAGTGAACCAATCTTCTCTCCTTCCTTCTTTCAAGCTAAACTTCTAGCTTAGCTGAAGCTTTTCGTTTTGCTCAGTTCGTTGTGGTGTTCCTTGAAGGAAAGTAGAGCATCTTTCTGAAGGAACTTGGTGCATTGAACATTTGTGCAGTTGGGGGGGGGGGGGGGGGAGGGATGCCATTAGTGGAAAATGAAAGAAACTGGAAGAGGGATAAAGTCAACTGCAGGGCAGCACCTTGGATCCAAGTGGGTGAGAATTCCTCAGTCTTCATTTTGGAAGAGTCTCTGCAGGAATCTCTCTTACCATATTGGAAACAAATTGATTCCCTTGCAGTCAATATAAAGGGTGATAGCTACAGCCTTGAACACACCAAACCAATAACATGCCAATGTGGCAGCTGGATGGAAATTTTTAACATGCAGAGAGACATTATGCAGTTGATGTGGCAGTGTAAAGGAATTCTACATGTTTTGTGAAAAGAACAGTTAGAAATTGCACTGGACACTGTATTAGCCAGTTGCAACTTTTGGGTATCGGAGGGTATAACAAACCCAGCAGTTTTCATATAACTTTTGTCTAATATGAATATAGAATGTATCATAGATGCTAGCATGCATAGGATATGTAACTGGCATTTGAGTTACTGCTCAGTGGAATGAAATTATGTGAAATATTGTGTGTGCATGGTATATGTACAGTAGCTATTGAACAGTCATTATATGTCACAATTAGAAGTTGCATCTTTACAAACCTAAATGCAAATCAGTAGCTTGGGCATTCTGGATTTTATTTCTCATGTTTTGTTTTTTGCCACCTTCTTCCTTTCTGGCATTTAACAGATTCTGTTAACACATGGCTTTGGAAGCAGTAAGACTGCAGCAGAAATTCTAGGTTGTGGTCTTATAGCAGTACATAAAAATTGATGCAGAATTTATTTTTACTGAAGTTGTACATTGCATTTCAAAATAGTAGCTATCTTTCATAAAGTGGCTGGGATATAAAAATATACATAGTTATTCCAATATTTCAAGTCTGATAGTTGCAGCTCCAAATATTATGTTGCATACTACATGTTATTTACATTGGGTAATAGTAGCAGAGTTCCATTACTCTACTCAAAGATGTTTTCTCTTTACTCAATATAAAAGGAGTTTGAAGGAAATTAGGTCAACATGTTCATCTAAATAAATTATTCTTTTCCTCTTTAGAGATGAAATTAATGTTTTGCTAGTGTTGTCTAAGATATGGTATATTGTAGATACTTATATACAAGCAGCTGGAAAGGTTGTATCAGTCTGTCAACACTCATTCACTTATGGAAATGCATTCAACATGAGTTTTCATTAAAACTGCATTAAACCTAACTATTTATCATATGGGCTGCTCAGTATATTGGATCATAACTGAAATAAAACACACAGGAGTTCTTTACATTTCAGTTTCTTTGTAGTTCAAGCACTTGATAACTTTGGCAGCGCTGATCTCTGTTTTTGCTATTACTGCAAAATTGATTTTGCAGCTGGTAAAACAGAATAAAACACATTGGTATTCAGGATCCAGAAAGAAATTTTAAATAACAGCTATTTTAAGAAAAAAAATTCCTTATGTCCTCACTATGATAGCATCTCATTTTGGGGGGGATAGGACAAGTTAGCAAAATGCCTTCTGTCTTGGCACACGTGAATCAAGATTGTGAATTAAAATTTATTTTACAATTCATAAAGAGTTGCTATTTCTCCTTGTTTCTAAGAAAAAACTCCACACAATAAACTTTTTTCCATTCTGATTTTCTCTTGCTGCCAGGGAATTCAACCCTGAAGTTTGTATTGGCTTTTAGAGTTCAAAAAGTTGAATCTCTGAAATGAAGTTACTGGCTATTACATGAGTTTATTTCTGTAACATCTGACAGTTCCAACTGGAAGAGTCCTTTCTCAATACATTTCCAAATATTATTAGGAAAAAAGAGAATTCTTATTTGGGAAAAATCATTAAGTAGATGAAGCAGAAGGAGAGAGAGTGAATAAAATAAATGTTCTAAATAAGATAAACTAAAAATCACATCTCCTTTTCTTCGATAGCATTCAGTTTTATCTTTTAAAAATTGGACATGGACATGAAGTGGTATCATATGAGGTCACATGCTGATTTTCAGGAACACAATAGCTTCAGGTTAATGCTTCACAAGATACTCACTGCATTTTAAGATTGCTAAACTGCCACCGTTTATACTCAGCTCTTTTCTTTGCTTCTTGGAGGAAAACTAAGGTACTGTGAATTTAAGTACTATGAAATAACATGTGGCTCTTTGATTTAGAATTATTTTGCTTATTCATAATAGTTAGCTAATTGTTTTTCTATAGCAAAACACTCAAGAAAGTATACAGTTTAATTCTGGGTGAAATGAAACAATACTAATAAAATTGAAATCCAGTGGCACAAATGCTAAAAGATATTAGGAACTTAAAGAGAAAAAAAATATTCCAATTCTGAATAGTAATAAAGGAGATCTTCTTTCAAAAATGTTTTAAACAGACTTGAAAAACTTGATTGAATAAATTCTAATTAGCAATATATATAAAACTTGCTTTTTTCATTAGCCCAAAGTAATATTCTTTCCTTCTATTTATCCACAGAACTGCAATACTCTGTTAGGCTGGACTGAGAGAGAGTGATTGGCGCATGGTCATTTAGTAAGCTATTGTGGTCAGTGATGAATTTCAACCTTTGCTGTTCAAGTCCAGCATTTTAACTGCTATACCACATTGGTGGCTTTAAGATTTTTATTTAGACATCTAAGTGCAGAAATTTTATTTATTTATTTTTGTTATTTTTGAGGGAACATAGAGTGAGCTAAAAGTATCAGATCTGAAGAATAAATAGGAATAAAATATATTCAGATACAGCAAAAATTTGATTATTTTGAAAGAATTCTATCATCTGACTATAAGAAACATCATTTTCAATCTCTCTGAACCCCCTCTCTCTTCTGCCACAAAATGTCCTGCAATTTGAGATTGCACCCTTGTATTTTCTCCAAATTATGAAAGCTAACCTTAGATGTCATAAAACTTCTTGGTATCTAAATGAGATATCTAATCAAGTTAGTTGTGGGATTAACTTCCATATTTTATCATAATCATGGTTTAAACAAAAAGTCTTCTCTAACATGATTTCAGTTTTGACACTATATCTTTGATTTTTTTTTCCTTTGGCATAAGTGGAAAGAGGTTCATATTCTGCTAAGCAGAGTTTTAAAACCTTGACTTGTTGAATAAATTGTAGTATTTTGCATCACATTGTTTCAAAATCGACGGGTTTACCCACTGCACTAAGCCAAAACATCAATGAACTCACATTATGATTTGACATGGACTTTGGAACTATCCTTTATGTGAATGCTCTCTCTCTATAGTTGCTTTCCAGTTATCAAACCCTGTTAACAAGCCTCAAATGTTCAATAATGAAGATTAAAAAAAAATTGAGTGATACCTTGCATACTAATAAACAAATGACAAATGTCTTCTATTGAAGTTCCATTGAAGTTCCAAAGGCATAGTAGTATTTTTATAAATAAGCCATTTATTTCAGTTCAGTAAAACAGGAAAAAATTTATTTGCTAACTGTAAACTCTGCCTCATGGAATGTGATTTATGTATGTGTTAACAAATTAAATGCATCTCAATTCCATTGTGCTAGACTACAAGTTTCAATGAATACATTCATGTATATGGATATCTTAAATAGGAGTGAGGAGGAATGGTATGGACAGGATTTTTTTGTTTGTTGTTGCATTAGAAAAACTCCCATTGATGCTTAAAGTTAAATCCTGGTTCACTCTGTGGTATGGCAATTGATTTGGACAGATTCCTCTAATGTACCTGAGGAATGCACTTAGTTTGGTCCCCCAAGGTTCTCCTGCCTATTGTGCTCAGAAGGCATAAGAAGGGAGTTGTTATTGCTTTTTTCATTCCTGTGTAGTAGCTTTGCTTCACTACATAAATGAAGGAGATTTCTCAGTCAATTCCATTCTTGTGTACTATGGCTAATTTCCTTTCTCAAAACCAGCACAAAATACAGTATTTTTGTAATACTTTTTGTAATAGAGGAACTAATGGACTTAAGCAATTATTCCAAATATATTTAAAGCAGAAATAATTCTACCTTCTTTGAGGGGTTTCTTTTATGATATTGCCACACTGTTTCCAAAGCATTACTTTCCTGCTAATATCGCGGGAAAGGATACTGAAAAGAGTAGCTTGTATGACTGCAGACTTTGAAAATCTCAGGCTCTCAGATGATGTTGTCTCTCTAATTAATGGAAGAGGACTGAAAAGGAAAAGAAGAATATCTCAAGTCAATAATTGGCTACACAAGAGTAAAAACCAGTGGTAGGATTCAAAATTTTCTACTGTTGGTTCTGTGGGTGTGGCATAGCTTTGAGGGCGTGGCTTGTTGGGCGTGGCAGGGAAAAGATACTGTAAAATCCCCATTCCCTTCCCACCCCACCAACCTGCTTTCCAGCTCCGTTCTTCTCTACAGGGCAACAAAAGAAGACCCAGCCGATCAGCTGGGACTTGGGAGGTAG